AAGGGGAGGAGCTTAAAGGATGGCAAAAGGCAAAGGGCGGGGCTTAAGGGGAAGATGGCAAAGGGTAAAGGGTGGGATGGTGATGGGTGGGGATTATGGGGGGAAGAGGTTGGGGGTAGAGGGTAGGGGTAGGAGATTGGAGGAGGTTGGTTGGGTTAATGGGTTAAGGGGCTAGTGGTAGGGGTCATGGGGTAAAGGGAGGAGGGAGGGAGGGAGAGGGAGAAGGAGAGAGAGAGGGAGAGAGAGAGAGAGAGAGAGACAGAGAGAGAAAGAGAAAGAGAGAGAGAGAGAGAGAGAGAGAGAGAGAGAGAGAGAGAGAGAGAGAGAGAGAGAGAGAGAGAGAGAGAAGAGAGAGAGAGAGAGAGAGAGAGAGAGAGAGAGAGAGAGAGAGAGAGAGAGAGAGAGAGAGAGAGAGAGAGAGAGAGAAAAAAAAGCAAACAGAAAGAAAGAGAAAGAAAAAAACAGATAGGAAAAAAATAGACACCCATACAGAATGAGCGGGGAAGATAGGCAAACAACGAGCGCTAAACAGAGAAGAAAAAAAAAGGTAAGAAAGAGAAATCCAAACAACCGAGAGTTTACAGAAAGGGGAGACGAGACGGAAGCAGTGAAATCGCAAAACAATAACCGGGGCAGAGTGAGGGGAATCCCGTCCTCCCCTCGTGTTTTGTGAGTGACAAGTTCCTCCTTTCACCTTACACATTCCCTCAGCACCAAGGGGTAATTCCAGAAGTTTGCAGAGAGAGCGATACTTTGAGATGCAAAAAGAACCTTTATTGTCTAACGTTATTCGATACTGTTCGGACGGAGAGAATAGGGTATTAGGATAAAAGGGAAGGTTATCTGGGAGGAGAAGGAGACAGGTAGCATGTGGAGGAAAGACGGGAAGAGAGGACGCACACACACCCATGCCAGATGTTTTACGCACACAAATGCACATGCATGCGGTCATACGCACCCAAACACGCACACACAGAACAGGACGCGCACAGACCCATGCCAGATGTTTTACGCACACAAATACACATGCATGCGGTCATATGCACCCAAACACGAACACACAGAACAGAACAACCACACAAAAACATTCACACACATGCACTTGCAAATACATATACGCAGACATACATACACACATGGATTCACTGACATATCATAAAGAAAAAACACACACACACACACACACACACACACACACACACACACATACACACACACACACACACACACACACACAAACACACGCACACGCACACGCACACGCACACGCACGCACACACACACACACACACACACACTATTCTTTATATGTAAAATAATTTATGTATACCGAATAGAAAAAGATTTTATTATTCATACATACCCGTTCTCTTTCTCTCCCTCTCCCTTCCTTCCATCTCATTTTTTCTTCATCTTCTTTTTATCTTTCTTTGTCTTTATCCATCAACTTTTTTTCCCGCTGTTCTTCTTTCTCCTTACGCTATCCATACCTCTATTCTTCTCATTCTTTATCCATATTGTCAATCCTTCTATCTATAGTTTTCTTTTGTCTCGCTTCCCTCCATTCATTCTTATCTTATCCGTCTAACTTTTCCCTTCTTTTCTTATCCTCTCTCCCTGCCATTTCTTTCCTTTTATACTTTCCATTCCTCCCTGCCGTTACCCGCCTGTCTCTCTCCTCTTCTCCTGTCTCTTTTTCTTCTCTTTTCTCTTTTCTATTTTTTTTCCTCTTCTTTCTGTTCTTCATATTGTCTATCCATATCTCTCTTCTTTCCTTTTTTATCTCACTCTTGCTCCCCTTCCCATTTATCCCTCCCAGTATCCATCCATCTTTCCCTTTCCTTCTATCCCTCCTTCTGTGTGTCCTTCTATTTTTTCCTGTATCCTCTCTTCCTCTCTAACCCGTCCACTGTCGATCCATCTTCTCCTTTCTCCCTTTCTTTCTTTCCCCTTCCCTCTCTATCTCTCCTAATGTCTATCTATTTTCTTCTTTTATCCTTTCTTTCCCTCTTATTCTCTCTCCCTTCCACTGCCGACGCTCCTTCTTCTCTCCACCCTTTTTCCCTTCTCCCCCTCTATCTCTCCCATCGTTTATCCATCTTCCCCTTTTCCCTTATCTCCCCCTCTTCCCCTGTGCACGCGTGTCCACTTCCCTCTTTCCCACCAGCCTTCCCCCTCCACACTAAAACAGGTGGATCAATGATCTGATTGACCGACGGCCAGTCAGGGAGAGCGGAGCTTGCACCCTGCTGGACCTGAGCCTGTCTGATGTGATAGCCAGAGCGAGAAGTCACGCTAGAAAGGGAAATGGATCGTGGACAAATGCTGCACTTCGTAGAATATTCACTTTTCTTATCATTGTTAGCTTGGAGTTCTCGTGTTGGTTAGAGTTGACATTATCAAAATGCATGAAGGAGGTAAATCACATATATATTGGTACACATATATGTACATATATCAATATATGTACACATATACATATACATACATATACATAAAT